GGAAAAATTGGTTTTGGCTAGCTTTCCTTTGCGTGTTGTCAAATTTGCATGTACTAGCCAAGCTGAGGAAAACACCCAGTCAGAGGAAATGGTGGTCTTGCACTTTGTGTCGCGGACCTCAAGCAATAGTTTTCCCTCCCTGGCAAAAATCCATTGTGCTTGCTGAGCTGGCTCTTGATCTTTGTACGAACGACCAAACTTATTGCTGGCGAACAAACTACCCGAACAAAAATTGTGAGAACCACAAAAGACCCACTGCAATCGCTCCAGTTCCACTAGCCAGAGCCTTCTCGCGCGCAGGTGGACACGTGGCTTCAGCTTTGGTCGCCCCTGGCTGGCCAGCGTGTTGGCTGGCTGGGGGCGTTAGGGCACAACGACGTCACCATAATTTCGTAATTTCGACGACGTCACTAAATTCAGTTTTTGAATTTAACGAAATTAACCGACGACCCAGGAATTATTTTATATTGCCCAGATCAATGCTCCAACCCCTCCGCTTCTTTGCGTCTTCTTCGCACCGTCAGAGACGGTCTGAAGTTCCCACGTGTGTACGCGAGGAACACCTCGATGACGGCGCAAGCAACGCCGCTCCAGACGGCCACGATGTGCGGGCAAATTTTGGTGAACGTCTTTCAGACGATCGCGATCTTGGGCATGATGACCGTGGCGTGGCCGGAAATCTTCCAGACCACCTCCAAGAGCTTCAAGGCCTGGCGCGTCAAGCTACACGGTATTACGGAAAAGAAACGAACGGAAGAAGGGTGGCTGGATCCTGAGGTAGCTACAGGGGTGGTTCACTCCCTCATTCCCTACTAAGCACGAGTCTGTTTTATGGGTGGACTAGGGGTTGCTTGAAGGCGTTGCTGGTTTTATTTTTGTGGCCACCCCGAAAAAGGAACGTTGGATGAGGATGTTGCACGGTGAAAGTTTGGGCTGTTCTGGGCCTGGGGTCATGCCGTTTTGGGTGATCTCGAATGAGAATTGTTTGGTTTGGATTTAGGTCCAGGTTTTCGATTTGTGTCGGCAAAGCGCACCTGCATACATGAGAGTGCACCTGGACCTATAATATAGAAGCATGCAGCATGCACTTCAAACATTGCGCAGCGCTATTAGCACACAGGTTCGAAGCATGAGTGTTCCAATTGGTGTAGATTTTCCGAGGGAAGGTGAAGTCGGATGACGGATGTTCCAAATGCACGGAATTGATTGATGTTCTAAGTGCATCTAGCTGCCGGTGCCGCTTGGATGAACGTTTTCCAGAGCTATTTTCCCATTGGAGGCTGTAGATAGGATCACAACCGCTGAAGGGTCCTTTGCCATTTGTGAGTGCATCTCTTCCCATCGACAGAGACCCCGAAAACAGCGAACAAAAACACTCTTCCTGCAGCGAAGCCAACATGGCATCAATCCACTCAATGCACTCCCGTTTTTGGGGGACATGCCTCCTTTGCATACTGGTGGGGCCCGCGTGGGGCATGGAATGGGGCTTGGTTCGACGGCAAGACGAGCAGGTTATATCCATCTGGATGTTCAGGGATGCTTATGCATATGGATGCTTCAGGATTGTCCAGAATGGTCGACTGGATTACAGACAGACACACGGACATGTGGCGTGCCACCATGTGGCACGCCACCAGGTGCCACAAAGAGAAACACATGGACATGACTGAACGAACGAGATGGAGATGAGTCTGAACGAATGTTGGACCATCGTCAATGCCCCCAATACCTGAAGGACAGATAAGAGAAGCAGATTGGCTTACTAGTAACAAGAAGCTAATTACTAGTAACAAGTGCATCGCTACTAGTAACAAGGGCATTACTACTAGTAGCGAGAAGCTACCAGTAGCTAAGGGCATTACTATATACCTTAAACATTTCATTCTCATATCGGCCGAAGTCCATGTTCCGCCCATTCCGCAGATGCGAGACCTGACCTGGGGCGGAAAGATAGACCTCTCCAGGTCTTCCTGTTGGATTTGGAAAGCTTCAGCCTGAGCTGCGTGGCCGGAAAATCCAGCCTTCAACAATTTGCTGTGAGTACCCTGCTCTTCCCATGTGCTGCTCTTTGGTTGCTCTTCCTCCAGGCCTGGAGCTTTAACGCTTCAATTCGTTTGAATCGAACGGTGGGCATTTTGGAAGGTGACTGGACACCTATAGCCCTATAGGTGAGGTTGGATTTTCATCGTTCATCGTTCAGCTACATATCCAATGACCACAACACACTCTTCGATGTTCAACCCAGCTCCTGGTGTTCGACTCCTGAATCGGTGCTGCGGTTGTGAGCTGCTGTGTTCGAAGGCAGCGTCGCAATGTTTGCCTGACACCTGGCGCAAATCGCCGCCTGGCAGCACAGCGGCCCTCGGGAGTTGTGTGATATGAAGTGATCAGTGCCTGAAGCATCCCACCGGATGAGAACAGGGGAGACCAATGTGCAACGTTTCTCCGTCCTTGATCTCCCCAACGTTTCAGCCCAACAATCACTGTATTCACAGTGTATCAATCTGTGTCACTGAATCAGGCTGCTTGGATCTACTTAGCAAGACTTGCAAGGAGACTACTTGGTACATGATCTATTACTGGTAGTGTGGTGTTCTCACGTGGTTGACGTGTCGCATGATCAGCTTACAATCAGCACTGGGAAGCTCAAGTGACGATGCGTTTAAATAGTCTAGTCTGAACCCTGCCCTGCCTAATGCCAAACAACACCTTGAATTCGGGGTCACTGGCGGTATACTCCTCAAAGAGAAGGTATTGCTACGATTTGCATTTGCACATGTGAAAAGAATGACACGACTAATGAAACACGCCATTCATTTGGGTTTAAGATGTTTTAAGGAAAACCTGCCTGGGCAAATTGGGGTTGGCATTTTGTAGAGGGGCAATCTGAGTGGTTTGCTGGTACCCACAGCGATTTTCTAGACCCGTAGTCGTCGGCATTCCTGACAGAACAGGCCGTGGGTTTAGGCAATCCATTTTGTAGAACAACATGTGCACCGGGGTATGACGGGGGAAGAAGAATGACGAGGGAAGAATGGAAGAATCATGAAGGAAGGGAGTTCTTGATGGCTGACTTGTATAGAGTTGCATCTCTACAGAATGGATTCGGTACTGCTTGGAGTGCTGGTATATAGGTCATGTCCCCATCAAATCCCTATGAATTGAAAAGCCTGAAGTGTCGGTATGCCACTTTGTAGTGGGTGTCCCTGACCAAAAACAGCCTTTCTGTAGGCTCAGTTTTGACAGGAATGTGATTCTGGAGGTCCATTTGTCGATTCAAAACTGAATGAGGACAACACAACCTCACCCCTCTAATTCGAAAGGGGGATCGATTTTGTATATCTAATCGACTTTGTATATCTATTAGTTTTCTATTTCACCTTCTTGTCCAAGTTATTTGCTCAACCATTGCTGCTAAAACAGCATCTTTGTTTCATTAATAAATGTGTGGCCGGGAGGCCATTTCGGCCATCGCCTCGGACTCCACTGAGGCGCCGTAAGTGGCCCAGAAGCATCAACACCATCGGTGTGTTCCTGGAAGCCGGCTTTGGCACGATGTCTGCGGTGGGACTTCAACCTTTGATGTGCTACTCGCACCCCAGTGGCCTTTACAGTGTCTTGAAGTTTCCCAACGTCATCTGTCAAAGCGGCGACCATGTGACCTGGTCAAACACCCAGTTGGTGGCGGTTCAAAAACGCGCTGTTCTGCGGGTTGCTTCGATGTTCCCCACAGAAGCGCCTTTTCTGTGCCACTTTAAAATCCTTTTTCTCAACTCCTACGGAGCTTAAAACGTCAGGTGGCCATGGTCATCCTGGGCGTGGCACTGCTGTGCTTTGCACTGGCTTTCTTTTCCGCCTGTGTGATGGCCTGCTGGAAGATGCCATCGTGGAGTTTAACCGATGGACATGAGCCCCTCGCCGCCGATGCCGGCGCCGATGCCACCGGCAGAGCCATCCAGTCCCAAACACGACCCATGGGACTGCCGACTGCCGATCAGTTGGGGTGGTGCTAGGGGGGTCAATGGGGCGGCAGTCCTATGGCAGTCCCCATGGAGTGTATGGGAGAGAGAAGAAAAGCTCCGCCGTTTGGGCGACAAAAAAACACGGACCAAGACCACGCCGCTGTTCCACCGATTCTTCACACCGAAGGTGGATTTTTCATAAGGAGGCCCCCAACCAACGGGTCTTGATCTATTCTTTCGGGGGTCTTTGGGAGGACTCCCTGTTTCAAAAGCACACCCACTTCTTCGCAAAGGTCCGAGAAGCGCTCTCAAATCGCTTCATCAGGACTATACTCTTCATGTGAAAAACATGGGTCTTACCAACCCTGTCAGGTTGGTGCAAAGCTTCCGCTTTTTGACCTCCCAGTTTCGCATGGACGCCTGGTGGTTTGGAGTTCTTCTCCCTTTGCGTGGCTTCTTCTTGAGCTTGTCTGTTGCGGTGGCCACAGATTTGCCGCCGGCACAAGCGGCAGCTGCTGCGGTGGTCCTGGCAATCTATGCTCCATTCCAGATGCGTTGGTGGCCATGGAAGGTGCCATACATCAATCAGGCAGACCTGTGCCTTCGACGGAATGAATCACTTGAACGACGTGAGGCTGATCGTGTTTCCTTGGTCTTTGAACGAAGTGATCAATGCTGCAGTCAATGTTTCCTTGTAAAGCTAAGGTGGATGAATATTATGCTTCTTCTCTTGGTAAACAGCTCAGTGGTGGTAGAAGGCAACACTTCAGTGGAATGGAGGGAATTTGGTCAGACCTATGCTATGTCGAATCTTGCCTGTTTAGTTTGATTCAGTCATGTTGCCTTTAGGATTTCCAGGCATGAGCCACCTGTTTTGAAACATGTTTGATTTGGGTCCTCTTGTGTACTATCATGCAAACCTTTTTGTGTTCGGTCGCTTCCAAAAACTCCCGCATCGGTTGAGGATCATGGCATGTGTTGCTTTTGGTGCATCTTTCATGCTGGTCCGAACCCTGATGGAGCTGTTGCAGAGGCATGTGCTGAAGATTGGAGGATGCCAGGATATGCTTTAACAAATTGCTTGGAGGTGGAATGAGGTGGATAGTGATTTTAGGGCGGCTTGCGGGAGCTGGTTGTGTATTGGCTTTGCGTGGTTTCTTCAATATTTATGGGTGTTGGCTTTGTTCAAGAAGCTCACAATAGGGGAGGTGATTGAATTGTATGTGGTTGTAGTTGCTCAACTATTCAGGAGACTTCACACCAGTCACCCTCCTAGGTGCTCGGGCACCCTGAGGCCTCAGACACCTCCCAGAGTCCTTTTCCATGCCGCCGGACAAAGTCAAAGAACAATTTCCTCCACAAGACCCTGGTTTGTGCTTTAAGCATGTTTGAGGCACCCAGAAGAAAAGAAGCAAAAACCGACAAACAACGTACATAGCATAAACCAGACACAGGTAACCACTAGTTTTCAGAATTCGATCCAGCAGATCCAGCAGAGAAGTTGACCACCTCAATCGGAAGGAACCGATCGACCGGACGACACCGTCTCCATCGGACGACGGCCGGGACGACGGCCTGGACGGCCTGCCGGCTGAGGCGATGAATGGATCGACCCGGCCTGCAAGGCGATCAGCAAGAAGGCCTCACAAGCCTTACACCACTGTGCTGAACAGCTGCTACTTGGGCGATAAACTCCGACATGAGCTATGAAGATTCAAACAAGTGATGTAGGGGGGGTTCGGGGGGGCAGCGGAAGTGGACGGAAGTGAGTGAGTGCAGGAGTTGCGAAATCTGATTCCCGGGCCTTTGGCACGAATCACATACTGACGACTTGCACCTACAGGTTGGCCCGCGATGGAACAAGAACCATCCACCAGCCATTGCATCGGTTGTGAGCTTTGCAGTCGCGCACGGATTTGGGAAATTGTATTATAGAGCTTCTGATTGATCTGAAGTTGAAGAACTTGGTCCTGGAATGTTTCGGCTTTGATCCCCGCTGCGCTACTTATATAGGTTTTGCTTTTGCCGAGGTTTCAAGGATTGGGCACCCAGAACGTACGTGTTGCTTCGTGTTCGGAACTTCTGTGACGAAGCCGCTCTTGCTAAGAGCGGAGATGGTGAAGACACACATATTATATATATATGTGTTTTGTTGTTCTGCGTCGTCGTTCTTTGACTGGTGTCGTCGTAGTAGCAGTTGCAATGCTCACTTGGTGCAGTGGGTGTTTGATGGTATGTTTTTGAAGTATTATTTAGCTTGTTTTTTGTTTTGAGCATCTCGCCAGCCAATCAAACGTAGTCAGTTATATAATCAGTTACGGTGTTCAATTACGGTGAAAGCCGGAGCTTTTTATGTGCTCTCATATCCATTTGTTTGTGTGCTCTCCTGTGTGCGCTCAATATGCGTGATACATGTGTTATCATGTGTGTGTGCTTTAATATGCATGTTTCGATGTGTGCATGTGTATATTGCACACACTTCGAACTTGGATTTTCAGTTAACGCAATCTCCCGAGGAAAGGAATGGCTCAACGGTAAGGTGGAAAGTCAGCGCAATTGTAGATGTTTCAACAAAAAAGTTTTCATACGTGACTGCGGAAAGCGCACAGCGGCAAAACGTCTGCGGTGGGAAAACCTGTTTGGGGGGTGGAAGCATGAAGAACCATGAATCAAATCGTGGAAAAGTAGGGTGACAGCTTGTGGAAAAAACTCGGCAGGTACACAATGCGGCGTCCCGCATTGCTTCACGACCGATCCATCACTGTCTTCGTTGGGCAGTGAGTGATGGTGGTCCACTGCCCCCCTGCCTATGAGGAAAAGTGTTGGAAGACCCTTTTTCCAGGGT